GTATTGTATCACTTTGTTTTAACAGCACTGAGAGCAAGCAGTAAGCTCTCCTTTCTTAAGAGACACACCAGACTTGTGATGTGCAGGCACACATCCATGAATGCAAGGGCAGAAATCCTGTTACTGCTATCCCCATTTCTACCCTATTGACCTGGGGTCTCTCACAAAGAGTGAGGTCGAAAAGTCAGCCAGGGTTGTGGTCATCTGAAGGTCTGAATGGGGTTAGCAGATCTGCTTGCAGGTGGCTCACTAATATGGCTGTTAACATGGTGCTGGCTTTTGATGGGAGACTTCTGTCCACAGGACTGCTTAAGTGTCCTTACAACATAGCAGCTGGCTTCCACCCAAGCAAATGACCAGAAAGGAGAGGTGAGCAGGTGAAAGCTATCTCTTTTATGAACTGGCCTTAGAAATCATGTGGCATCAGTTCTACAGCATTTTATTCATTAGAAGAAAGTTACTAAGTATAGCCCATATTCAAGGAGAAGGGGAATTAGGCTCTATCTTTGCAAAGTAAAAAATATCAAAGAATTGGAATATGTAAAATATATTTTAAATTTTCCTCAGTGCTAAACAAACTACTACATATTTTAAGCATTTCTTAGCAAAAAGAGAGAGGGAGAGAGAAAAAGGGGGATTGGAGACTACTAAGGTAAACTTTCTAAATGGAAATATGTTTCAAAGATTAATAGACTTCAGAATACAGAAACAACACAGGAAAACTGGCTTGGAGAATTTCCCCTTGTTCTAAAAAGTTCACAGATTCTGAATTTATTCTGTTATTTTAAAATGTCCTCATATACAACAGGGATAAGTGAAAGACAAATTCCCAAAGCTTTTCAAACTAAAGAGTTTGCAAAGAGATAATCTGCTATTCAAAAATAGTATCTCTTAATGTTATACTGTTTACTAATGAGTGTTTTCAGAAGCTTATGCATAAAAATAGTACATTTAAGTTAAGACCCTTCACAATTTTTAAGCAACTTTCAAATAATTTTGGGAAGGTAAGTGGATGGTAATTTCCAACCACAAATATAAAAATGCTTCTAATTTTAAAAGAACATCACATGGGTTTTCTGTCACTTAAGCACTGTGAGAAAACAAGAGAATTATGAAAACACACTGGGAAGCAGACACCACAGTACAGCCTCTTGTGGCTGCTCTGGACGGGGCCAAAAGCCCTAAGACAGGGACAGCTTGGATTCCACTGGGCACAGATCATGGAAAGATATGCAACACCACTGTTTTACTCATCCAGCTATTTTTTAAGAATTAAATGTCGTAGTGCTGCCCACGCAAGTGAACCAAAGCCCCAAGAGTACTACACTTGTTTGTCACTAAAGAACCTATTAGGCTGAGCAGTCTTTGAGGAGCCTGAGAATCTGATTTTATTCATCCCCCACCCCCATTTCCAAACCAAGGTGTCCACATCTTGGGAACCACCCCACAGATCACTGATCACATGGCTGGGAGTTTACATTTGAAGGATTCATTCATGAACATTCCCATCAGTGAATATTTAATAGCCATTTTCAAGAAGTGTCCCAAGGAAGGACCCACCCAGTCAACTTTAGCATTCACTACGCACTTGTTTAGCTCCCACATGTCAGGTAGAAGGCAAGTGCAGAGCAGCTCTAAAGAACAAAACTGGGCTCAGCTAGGCTCTCCTGCCATTTCTTTCTAGGTATGGCACCTTGGACAAAGTCATCTGACTCTAAGCTCCACTTTCTTCATCCATTAAATGAGCACAATATGTCACTAACCTCTGGCCTTGTTTGGGTTGGCCTAGTATGGCATAGGCATCCAGTGACTATTATTTCCTCCAAGAGGCATTTAGTTAGCACCCACCTCACAGTACGTCAGCTCCCTCCTGTAATTTCCCTCTCTGTACCCTGCAAGCTTTTCTTTGCAGTAATTTCTAGTTTCTCACTATGATTACTTTCCAGTTTGATGATTTGATTAACATCTCTCTCCAAGTAGACTGTGAAATTCATGGACTCTGATTTGCCTCATATACCCTATACCCAAAACAGTAGTATGTGACAGGTGCTCAATAAATACCTAATAAAACAAGTCAAGAAATGGACAGAATAAAAAGATGAAAGACACAGTACCAGTCCTCATCAAGATGCTCACAGGTCAGTGCAGCACTCATCAATTCTAGCTCTAAGTCAGATTCACTTGGGGAGTAATTTTCTTTTAATCTCAATACCTGATCCTACTCTGGAACAACTCAAGGGGATGTCTGGCCCTAGATCCTAGTGAACAGCCATGGGTGAGAATCATTGGTCTAGTGTGAGACAGCTGGTCAGCAATCACAGTCCTGCGGGATTCATGTTCTCCTTCAGAAGCACTGTCTGAAAGGATTCCTGCATGAAGAGGACTGTCTGTGTCCACACTGTCCTATTAGTCATGTGTGTTCACTGAGACTGAGGAACAGAATTTAAGCTTCATTTGATTTTAATTAATTTAAGGTTTAAAGGCCACAGGTAACAAGAGACCACACTAATGGACAGTACAGACCCAAGGGGAAAGCACACAGGAGAGCCTCTACTCCTGGCTGGGAAACTCAAAACCCTGTCAGTTGTGGCCCATCCACAAAGAGAGCATAGTCTAGTAGTGGAGGAGATGACACTTGACTCTGCAGACACCCTTGAACTTTCCCTTTGCACCCTCAAAGAGAATAAATTCTCCCTCCTGTCAGTCTAGTGCAGCTATGATTAAGGAAAGAGACCTTTAAAAAAAAAAAAGGTGAAGCACATCTCCAGGAAAAGAGACTTTGTGTGAGCTTCCAAATGACACAGTGATTGTGGCTAAGAAAGGACATGCATCTTGAGTCGGAACACCTGGAAAGAGTCATATGGTGACCAGAACAGAAAATAAGGAGGCACAAGCTGTAGAGAAAAGGTCTTGTGTGGTGAACAAGCGAAGAGCCTCCAGCATGAAGTCAAGGCTATAAAGAACTGGCAGCTGTTCCTGAGGCAGATAATGGCTGCAATGTCATTTGCAGAAGCATGAATTAAAGCAGGAAGACACCCATGCTATGGACCTAGTGGCCATGGTTCCCATCTAGCATTTGTCAAGCACTTACTATGTGGTCTCTAACAGGGGCCTTAAAAGCTCTCTCTCTTTGTCCATGTAATATGCTGTCAGTCAGATGCTGTTTTTCTTATTTAACACTTTCTATTTTCTGATTATACTTAAGGATATTTAAGACAGAAGATAAATAATTTACAGTTTGAACAAGTATGATAACCTAGCACTTACTCTCAGACCTACAGTTCCTGAGTCTCTTTCTTTTCTTTAAAAGGGTGTACCATGTTCTATTACACAGATATACTATTGTTATTTAAAAATCCTATTCTGTTTTTCAAAGTCCCAATAAAGGCTCCTGTAAATCTCCTTGATATACATTTTAAATATATTTTTATTCATATATGATATACATACCTACAGAAAGTACATAATTACTAAGTGCAGTCCTTGATGAATCATCACAAAGTAAAGTTAACTTCTACCCGAAACAAGGAAAGCAATAGTGTCAGCCCCTCAAAAAGACCTGTGGTGGCACCTTCCAGTTATTTACTCCACTTTCCTCCCCCAAGAGCTAATATCTACAAGAGCCCACAATTCTGTAACTGTTTATTAAAGTGAGGCACAGAATAGAAGTTATAAATTAGGCATATAATAGGCCAAAACTTAAAAATATTTGATCACTACATAACTAGACAATCATATTTACTTTAAGTAGATGTTAGTATTTTAATGAATATAAAGAAATTAGGGAGCAGTACTGAGGCACTGGGGTATAAAATGTGTCAATAATTAGTTTTATAGAGTTTCTTGAGGTCTAGAAGGGGTTAAAGAAAATAAAAGACTATTGGGCCTCCACTTAGTTAGCCTAGGGATTATCCTCTCTGATGTGGGGGAAATGAAGTGAAGTTTTAGCTTGCTCATGTTCCTTTCAGCTCTGTAACTGTATAATAAAATTAAGCAGAACCAGCATCTGCTGACTCCCGTAATGTGGTGAGCCCTTTATAAATATTAGCTCATAAAAGCCCCAAAACACTAATGTCACCATCCCCATTCTACATACAAGAAAAAACAGGTTGGACAAAACCTGTAACCTGTTCAAGGTCACTTTGCTAGTGACTTTGTTAGTAAGTGTATTAGCAAGAATGAAAACACAAATCTGTCCAACCTCTTTCCCTTAAAGTCTGCTGCCTTCCCCTCCAAGGTTTCATGTGGTAGGTTACAGACAACTGATTTCTTAGAAGTGATCTCTGGCAGGTGAGCTGGTATTGCAACAATGATAAGAAGGTGTGAGTCAGAGGGCTTGTAATGTATTTTGTTTTGAAGCCTCTCCCCTTCCCTGTGGTGCTGGAGTCTACCATTTCTCATGGGTACCCATTATTTTTCTTAATTTTATTTGTTTCTTTTTATTCACTGACAAAGATACTTTCATTTCCAAATTGACAAAGTCACTGGATAGAAGCTAAAACATTTAGTTCCCAGGTTATCTGGCATTTCCTAGGACAAAAGAAAAGATGACAGTAAGCAGGTCTGTTAAGGTCTATTTAACCTTGTCTTCTAACTTCCATAGGGAACCCATGGTCAGTACTGATTTTCAAATATGTGCAAGCATACTCAAGAAGGAAAAGATTCCCCAATGTTTTATTAAGAGCACTGAATCACAGGCTCACATACACACAAAGAGATTTTAAATATTTCATACGTCATCTGTGACAAAATCACTGTCACTGTTAAGTTCTTAAAGGCATAATGAAATCCACTGCAACTAATATTTTTTCTTCTTTTTGCTGTAGAACCACTAATCGGTTTTGGCTGACAGTTGACACAGAAAGAAAAAGAGCTGAATTTCTTTGATGTACTCATTCTCTTCCTTTTATCAAATCTTTTAGAAACATCTTGCAAATAACAAAGGCAACTTTGTAGACATTACTTATAATTCACATTATCTGACTTGGTGAACTGCTTACCTTGACCAGAATTATATATTGCTTTTACAGATTTCTTCACTTTCTGTAAGGCTGTTCTATCTTGGTCTAGAGCCTGAAAGAGAAAAATGAGGAGAAAATGTTGAAAAACTTGGTACATTAAAAAAAATATATAAGAAAAAATCATTCACAACTGCATTTGTTTGGCTGAGCACTGAAGCAATTGCGAACTGATGTATTTATTAGCTATAGACCTTCCCAAGACTAGAAGTGTCCAGGCTTTGGAGTAACTATGCTTTTTGGATGAATGTAGAGGCATTACACAAGGCTCAGTGAGTATGTGTGAGTGTATGTATATGTGTGTATATGAGTGTGTATATGTGTGAGTAGGAGTGTGTGTGTGTGTGTTTGTGTGTGTGTGTGTGTGTGTGATGGATAATATGGTAACCCATCAGTAACCACGCAAAGAAAATATAAACAATTAGGAAGCCTATGACTTGTTTCCTTCTCTCACAAGTTTACAGTCAGGTAAGGGAGACATAACGCTCAGGGAACAAATCACATCTTATCAGGCAATGGCAATTTCAGCCAGAAAAAAAAAACTAGGGGAGTACAAATAAGCAGTTTTGACCATAGTACTTTTAAATTTGATGATTTCTTTTAATGTTAAAAACACTATGATATACAGAAGTTATATTTTAAAAAACTGTCTACTAAAAAAGCATAATATGAAAATGCTACTACGATGCTGGTAATTTTTTTTCTTTTGTTTTATTTGAGCCAGGGTCTCAAAATCACATTCCTCCTGCCTCAACCTCCCAAGTGCTGGGATTAGAGGTATATACCACTAGACTTGGTCATTGGTGAAGCCATATAGTCTAAGTGTGGTTCAAGTGCTATTTTCCTTTGGCTCCTGTTCTCTAGACACCAGACAGGTGCCTGACTCATGGTGGACTATACGTCCTTCCTAGGGGAACAGGGATCAGAATGCCCAGACCCTTTCTGATGAGATCGGCCTAGGACCACAAGTGGTTCTGTTTCTAAATATGTGAAAGAATCTGGTCAGACCTGATGTTAACAGAGACAAAGCACCAGACTCCAGAGGAGGAGTCCTGGTGGCATCTGAGTCCTTGCTTCTAGCTGTCCTCCAGGCAGATGTCACTGCTAATCTTGCAACAGGCTGAGTACATGAGACAATAAATTCCTTCTGTCCCAAGCCGTGTGAAGTTGGGATTCTGTCACTTGTGACTATAGGTCCTAAATACTACAAAGCCAAAGTTACTCAGTGCTTACTCCATGTCGGGCATAATGTGTTTTAGAAAACATACCAACCACACAAGATACACATACTTTCAATTACCTTATCTCTTTGCAATTCAATCTTTAAAAAAATCCCCATGAAGTATCAGCTCCAGTTTTCAAATAGGAATTGCAGTAGCCCTTCAATAAATATTTGCAGGAATGGAGGGAGGGAAGATTAATTTGCCGAAGGCCACAGAGTCAGAATGTAGTGAAGCTACATTTCACACTAATGCCGACTAAATCCCAAAGGGCATGCTTCTCCTGGGAGATGGGCAAGGACCAGAGCCTTCAGACTGTGAGTCTAACACTATTTCTACTATGCATTTTGCTTATATTCCACCTCTGCAATTTTCCCCAAGGACAACCAGTTCTCCTAGAGGACAGGAGCTCATGGAAATTGGCTCTTGAATGGTTATAAAGGCAGAGAAGACCACTTTCCAGAAGAGAGGGAATGGCAGGTGCCTGCTGCCACTGCACAGATCCTTTCAGCTCTGTGTCTAATAGTTTTCAAATCTATTCAGACCTTTTTTTAAACTTACATAATTTCATTGTAAAGAGCTACAATAAATGGAAAACCAGCATCACTTACCATTAATAGAAGATACTTGAAAATTATAATGTACCCCTAACTATATAAAAAGCTCATCTACTTAGTATCTTGAGTCATCTAACTTGTCAGTCATGTAAGGAAATGCTAGAGCTATTGTAAAAGTTTAAGATTTGTAATTTGGAAAGAGAAGATATTTAATAAGAGCTTACTATGAAGCAGAAACCATCCTGAAAGGCCTACATGAATTATCTCATGTAACTCAGGAAAATCCTAAGTACTATCATAATATACATTTTATAGAAGAGAAAACAGAGGTTTGGAAAGGCTAACTTATCTGGGAGAGCAGAGTTGGAACTTGAACCCAGGTCTTGGCTATAGTACCTAACTTTCCTCAGTTTGTTCATTCCAATGATCTGTTATGAGATGAAACTAATGTTTGAGTCTTACGATATGGCAGGGTGGGGAAGAGTACACTATCCACCAGTTTTCAGAGATAAATCTAAGTTAAGAAATTTTAAGACATTTAGGTTGTGAAGAAAGTACAAGGGAAAGAAAATAATGCAAATAAGGACTCATTTAGGAGATTGAAATCAGTTGGGCACTGTGGCTCATGCCTGAGATCCTAGCTACTCAGGAATTGGACTTAGGAAGATTAAGGTTAGAGGTCAGCCAGGACAAGAAGTATGAAAGACCCTATTTCAATGAAAAAGCTGGGTATGATGTTACTTGCCTGTCATTCTATCTACTCGGCAAGTGTAAATAGCAGGATTATGGTCCAGGCAAAAGTGTGATACCCTATTTGAAAAATAACTGAAGCAAAGGGCTGGGGGCAGCATGTGACTCAAGTGGTAGAGTACCTACCCAGAAAATGCAAGGCCCTGAGTTCAAAACCCAGTACTACCAGAGAGAGAGAGAGAGAGAGAGAGAGAAGAAAGAGAAAGAGAGATAAGAATGTCTGAATCCAATAGGTTTATCCCTTGATGAACTGTTTTATGCCAATAGTATTTAAACAATAATTATAATAACAGTCATTGCTTTAAAAAATATACACAAGGTTGCCATTTTTTCTAAATAAAAACTTGGCTTTAGAGAACTGAAACAGCTTGCAAATGCACACTAAGAGGAGAACTAGCCTATGCTTTTTCAACCATGGCACCTATCTGTTGTAGAAGCATGCCTGAGTTTCCCAGGATCCTACTATCTCTTTCTTATTTCCAACAAAGGAGAAAAGATCTGCTATCAATTCAGCTTGAGGGGAGTAAGGACCACATAAAAAAATGGGTATACTCAGAGAGAAATTAACGCAGGGGCTTTAATGTTTATGCACACTTGGAGTTAATAACTCCAAATAAGCAAAGGGACATGAAGATTTCAGCTGTAACATTTTATGAGACCATCTATTTACTTCCTTCTTGGGGGTGCAGGTGGGGGCAAAGCCTCAGAATTTACGTTGAATGTTTTCCCAACTCATCCATGAACTGATAGGGTATAAAGTCCATATACTTGCTTTTAAAGGTCATTAATAGCATTTCATTTGACAGTTATAGCCACAGTTAAATCTGGGAGACACTTTCTTTTTAAAGCTCTAATATTTGCCCACTGGCAAAAAGAAGCCAAATAAAATGCTCTTTTCAGAGCCCCATACTTTAGAGAGCTACAGGATGCTGTCCTTCAATCAAGCAAAGCTCCCTCTGGAAATAACACATCTAAATATGCTACCAAGTGCATTTCCTCAAGTGCCAGCCACATAGCTGCAGTGACATCCTATGAAATGTCATACATAAAAAGTGAAACAAGGGCTAAGGGAAAAAAATGGCACACAATGTGAGCTATACCACACTATCTTTCAAATCCATTAAAATATGATAAAATACATGTCTGCATTTCTAAGTGCACATCTGAAATGGACCATCTCAAAAGGTGGCGGACAGGGTGCGAATGAACAACTGTCTCAAATCTGGCAATACAGCAAGTTCAGATTCTCTACATAACTAAAGAATGGTGTGTTAATCTGAAAGAGCTCTTTCAACCTTGATATGGAGACTTTTTATTTTCATTTCACACACTGCCTGAACAAGTTTGGTCATTTGAATTCTAGGCACAAAGAAAAGAGAGCAACAAGAAACCATACTGAGAGAAATGCTACCTGAGAGCTAGCAACCAGAAAGATTTGGAAAAATTATAGAAGCTAGACATAAGATTGAAAAATTCCTTGGGTCTAAGGTCATTCAGGGTAGGATGTAAGACCTTTCCTACAAATCCAGGCCAAGTGGTATTTCTAGCAGAGTATAACATCAGCTGTTCTGAGAATAGCACACAAAATCTGGCCACCAGCTTGGAGCAACTGCATTACATGAATCTTCTGCTTGAACTCTCTTCCCCAAGCCCTCAGGTGATTGACTCTTCTTACATCAACCTCAGATTAAAAGCCCCTTACTCCAAAAGGCCTTCGATGGATACCCTAAAGCTGTGTATCTTTGGGCCCCCAGAGATCCTCTCAAATATACTTTGTGCTGCAATTTCCATAACCCTACCATACCCTGAAACAACCCTGTTCATGATTTATTTACTTTTATGCTAATTATTTCCCTCCACTAAAAAAATTAAGGTTCTAAGAATGCAGGGGCTTTGTGTAACCTCAAGAATGCTTATGACACGAAGCAACAAATGATTTTATGAATGAACAAATAAACTCTTCAGTATAATCACTCCACAAAACATGAGTACACAATGCTAAGACTTGCCTTGAAAATGACTGAACAAAATAAAGCTTCAGATTCAGAAAACATAGTCCTCTAATGTTTTTAAATAGGCAAAGTATAAGTGTACATACATATTTTGTATGTTTACACAGTCATACATTCTTAGGAACATAGAGTAATGAGTTAACAACATGGACAGAAATGTAAATATTCTGAGTTTTGTGCCTTTAAATAGTTATTCTGGCAACTTTCTTTAATGGTAACACTAGTGTCAGTATTAATTAAGATTTTTTATTTTAGAATTATTAAGTCAACAGCACTTCCTTTTCAATTACACACAAGTAGGAAAATTTACACAAGTCTTTGGAGCTAAATATTTCCTCTTTTTTTGGGAGCTAAATGTTATGGATAAACTTATAAGACAGAAACAGTTCATGACAGTCAGATAATAGCAGAGAATTTCCTACAGATATGTAGAAGCAGACAGAAGTCAGAAGAAATCAAAGCTCCCTTCTAGGGATGCCATGAACATTTACTATCTGGATGCACCTAAACAAGTGA